GGCAATACTGCAGTTAGTATAGGACAGCTTAACCAGAGGGGGGTTTGTCACCGACTGAGGTTTTCCCTACCTCAATCCCAAACTTGCTGAGTGGAGAACAAGTGTCGTCTTCTGCATAACGTCGGTAAGGAAGCTCTTTGGTAATCGCTCCGCCCTCCGCCGTGCTTGGCGAGGTTATGAGCCCAAGATTGACGCTGGAGCGTTCCGAGACCCCCTTCGAGAATGTCTGGATAAACGCCTGTGACGCCTACCGTGCCGGTGGCCGCGACAGCTGCAACGCCGCCGTTAGCCAATTCTAATGTGACGCCGACTGTGACAGCGCCGTCTCTAGTCCCTGCTGCGCTCGTAGTGACTTCAGTCCCGGCAGCGTCTCTAGTGATGAACGCGACTGTAGCGAGTGGAGTGACTAGTGGATCTCCAAGCAGTGCGACGTTCAGTGGTGTTAGTGGTGTAAGTGGTGTTGTGTCTTCCGGTGGTACTCCAGGAGGTGGAGCAGCTGGATCTGGTCTAAGTGGCGGATTTACATTTGGATCGTTACCGTCAGGGAGTGTTCCTGGCATGACAATGAGTGTACCTGGCATGAACTATTCGCTACCGTTTAAAATGGACAAGGCGCCGAAGATGAAAGGCAGCTTTGACCTGTACGCTGTGCATTTGCGTACATTCCTAACACGGATGGGATGTTGGGATGTAGTGGATGGATCGTTTAGAACTGCGGCTGTGTCGATGATGAACTTTAATGCAAAGGATAACGCAGCTCGTGAGGCGATTCTGTCAGGTGTGTCTGGTCAAGATGCAGAGATGATTTGTCAGGAGCCTACCGCAGAAGCGATGTGGAACCGGTTTGTGGATCGACAAACAAAGCGCGAGTATTCGAACTACATATTTGTACGCGCTGAGTTCTATTCGAACTCCTACACTCCGGAAAAGTCCATGGAAAGTTGGCTACGGGAAATGGAGAAATTGCGTCGGAATCTACTGCACTATGGGAAGGAGATTGATGACGCTGACTTTGCAGAGACTTTGCTTGGTCACGTTTCGCACACGCATCGCGATGTGGTTCGGCAATTCTCTAGGCACTATGTTGTTGGTGGAGATGCTGAAAAGAATAAGAGACCTGTGCCTTCTGCGACTCAAGTGATGAACGCCCTGCGTGCCGAATCAGCCCTTGATGAGAAGATGGGAGCTGAAGAGAAGAAAGCTGCTGGTGTCGCTGCGTGTGACAAAGGCCAGAAGCAAGGGAACGGAAAACACAAGAGAGGCGGTCGTGGTAAGAGCAAATCAAAAGACCAGAAAGAAGACAAAGGTAGGAAGAAAGAAACTCGTACTTGTTATGGATGTGGTGAAGTTGGACACATTCGTCCCAACTGTCCGAACAAGAAACGAAAGGAAGATGACGATGATAACTCTTCTGATGATCGTGCCGCTGCTGTCGGACCGAGAGTTCACTTTGCTTCATCGGAGCGTAAACGATGGGAGAGCAAAGGCAGCAAAAGCGAAGATCCAAAGCGAAGGAAAGTGGAAGCTGTTGGTTGTATTTCACGTGAAAATTTAATAATTGGATCCGTGAAAAACAGCACTGGTGGTGTCGTTGAGTGGGCATTGGACTCGTGTAGTGATGT